TGCCCCCGTGCTCACCACACTGTTGGGCGACTGCCACCATCGTATAGTGGCGGATCAAGCTGGCGACGAAGGGTAGGGCGCTGGGCCGCAGGTCCTTAATGACGGCAGACATGAAGGCGCCTGTCAGGGCCTGCTCAAACGTCTTCCGGGCTGGAGTGTCCTGGGCTTTGTAGCGATGTGAGATGATGACATTGGGGATGGTCTTTTCTGTAAAGCTGAAAGGCAAAATCAGATCTGGCATCATGACACCCAACTCCTGAGCTGATGACTCCACCAGGACTTCTTTTTACATTTTTAATCTGCTCACTTCCCTCTCATTCAGACAGGCCTGGGTAATTTCTCTGCTTTAAGTTCAGCAATACCTGGATGGAGTCTTGCTCTGTCACTCAGGCTGGAGTACAGTGGCGCAATCGTGGCTCACCACAACCTCTGCCTCCCGGGTTCATGTGATTCTCCTGCCTCAGCCTCCCAATTAGCTGGGATTACAGGTGCCCGTAACCACACTCAGCTAATTTTTTTTTTGTATTTTTAGTAGAGATGGAATTTCACCATGTTGGCCAGGCTGGTCTCGATGGTCTTGAACTCCTGACCTCAGGTGACCCACACTCAGCCTCCCAAAGTGCTGGGGTTACAGCACTCTTTTTCAGGCTGTAAGTTTCCCTCTGAGTATCACTTTAGCTGCATCCTGTTTACATTTGGTCACGAATTATCATTTTCTTGGCTCTTTTTCCCTCCCCCATCCCCAATCTTCCATGGAGGAACTTTCTGTCTGAGTGAGGTTCAAGATGTGCTGGTGGCAGATTTCTGTTTTTATGTGAAAACATCTTTATTTCATCCCTATTCATGGGTCATATTGCACCAGATACATGACTTTACGTTGGCAATTCTTTTTTCAGACTAAAGGTTTATTTCACAGTGGCTTTCACAGCTTCCAAGTGATCATTCATTTGAATGTCATCTTTTTGTTCTGCCATCTTTTAAGATTTTTCCTTTGTTTCTGATTTGTAGTTGTTTCACTATAGTTTGTCTGTATGGATTTCTTTTTATTTATCCTGCTTTGGATTCGCTGAACATCTTGAATCTGCACACTAATTTTTTCATCAGTTCTGGGAAATTCTCAGTCATTATGTCCCTCTGCTTTTTTTGAGGGGTTTCAAGTGAATGATGCTACTTCCCTCTACTCTTCATGTCTTTTACTCTCTCTTGAATTTTCCATCTTTTCTCTCTCTGCATGCGTTCTGGATAAGTATTTGACAATTTCTTAAAGGTTCTCTCTCTTTTTAATTTTTTGGGCAATTTTTACAGGTTTCTATTTCTTGGAGGTAATTTCAAGTTTGCCTTATATTAATTTAAACATTCTAAGCAAAGTTACAACCTAGTTCTGATCATCCTATAACACCTGAAGCCTGTGTGGGTCTATTTCTGCCTTCCATTGATTCTGCTGGCTCTTACTCATGTTGCTTTACTTCCTGGTGCATTTGGTTACCTTGACTCCTCTCTCTTCAACGTCCTTTAAACAACTGAGCACCTACTATATACTCAGCATCATTTCTGATGCTGTGAGGAATGTGAAAATAAATAGGAAAAATCCATCCCCTGAAACTTACAATGCAGAAAAATGGTATATGTGTGTTACCTCAAAAGATCATTACATTAAGGTCATGCACAGTCTCAAGAGGTAAGAGCAAGATACAGACATCACATGAGAAATATCACTGTGAACTGAAAATGCAGAGGGTCCACTGCATGCCTTTCAGGTGCCAGCTGCTGTGGACAGAATGGTAAGACAAAGGGAGGGAGAAGGGACCTGACCCTTGATTTCTTCATGCTTACAAACTAATGGAGGAGGTGACAAGACACAATAAAGGCAGGCGACCACTGTGATCCCTTCTAATTCTCAAGCACCCAGTTCTCCTTTCCATTTTCTCCAAGGCCTCAAGAAGAAGGAGTAGGTAGATAATATGGCATCTGCTGGACTTAAAGGAGCCCGCTCCTAGCACCAGGAAACCTGGGAGGCTCTCTACAGTCCCAATTCCTAAAGCAGGATCCACCCAATCGCAGAGAAGGAAGCGGCCGACATACTTGGGGTGTGCCAGGAGCTGGTAGAGTGCATGCTTGTTGTCCTCCAGGCTCATCATGGCCACCAGGAAGCATTTGATCACTTCCCACGCCTGCCTCCGGTAGTAGGGCTCAGTGTTGGCACTTTTCAGGCAGTCCAGAGCGGTTTCAATGGCCTACGACCAAGACACAAAGAAACTACAGTTTGTGCTGGAATTACATGATTGTGAAAAGCTTTCACTGAAAGCATCTGCAGCACCCAGAAGAATCTTAATGCACGTTTCTAGACAGGCGCCTTAACCAACTAAGCCATGGCACCAGTCGCATGCATATTTTCTTTCGAAGAGAGCACAGTGGGCCAATAAAACCTAATAGGTATTCACCTGATGAAGCTTCCAAAAGAGGTGGTGGAAGTATTATGAAATAAGGAATTGCACAGTTCAAATTAAAATGCCAAGATGGAGTTTAACAATTTCATGTTCAAATAGCCAATGGCAGATTACAGGAACTAAGTGAGCTCGGAGAGCCTCTTGTGGTAGATTTGCTGGGTTAAACCAGATTCTGCCTCACCTACACACACTCATCAAGGTCCTAATAAGAATAATAATGAACTTTCTGCAAAGCAGACTTTCTTGTGTCTAGGTTCAAAACTGAAAGATGACTTCTTAAGCTTTTACTAAACTCACTCTTTAAGAAAGAAAAAGGTTGACATCATTTTTTGCAGAAAGCCTACATAGCTACATGCACACATTTTTATTCTTTCATTCCCATGGGGTTGACTGAGATAGTGGGGAAGACACAATCACACACAAAAGTAATCTGAAGCCTTTAACAGGCAAGATATTCACTTTAATAATAATTATGTACGTATAAATCAAATAACTAATCTTTGTTAAAAATTTACCCAGGCCCTGTGTGAGGAACCAGGAGAGGGTGACGACAGGGACAGAGGCCCTCCCCCTCCAGCCCCTGCCAGGCTTGGAGACACACAGTGCACACAAGCATGACAACAGCTCCTGCCTGGATGAACTCCAGCTTGAGTGTCCGTGCTCTTTGGGGGTACTGAGAAACTGTGTGTGATCTGGTCACTAACAGTCTTTCTAAAATTTATTTTTAAGAATCAATATAATCTACGAGTCAATTACCTTCCAAAAAACAATCAAGGACTGCCAAGTGCGCCAAAAGCAGAATGGTTTAATGGAAACTCACTGGCGCTTGGCTTAGCCATGCTCATCTTTCCCTTTACCTCATGGGCTCCTCAGCTATGAGGGGTGTGCTGCAGCCAGTGCCAGCAGGATGCCGTCCTGCTCAGAAAGAAAGCCTTGATGGGCACCACGGTGAGCCTCTGTAAGGGGGTCCGGACCCTTACAATCCTATCTCACACTTTTCTGCGAAACCTGATTTCTTCCAGACTTCAGCTGTTTTGGGGCAAAACTACTTCTAAAGGGATTTTTTTGGGGGGTGGGGGGAGCTCGTAGTCTATACAGAGTCAAATAAAAGTCAGACGCTTTAGTTTTCACTACTAATACTAACCTTAACAAGGACGCAGCTAAACAAGCAGAATTTTATCTTAAGGAAATTACCTAAGATGTGGGAAAGTACTGCAGGCACAAGGATGCTACTATTTTCAAAAGACAGAATTTTAGCCATCCAGTTTTCTTAGGGGGAGAGTAGCATTCAATTGGAAAGCATGTGGATAAAGGTTTGGGTTAGAAGCTGAGACTGCACCTACCCTGAGGCTGGAGAGGGAACAGTGCTTCAGAAGGTGGGAGTTGGGGAGGGCTGGGGAGGAGGCACAGGCTTGAGAGGTTGGGGGGACAGGCAGACTGAGATGATGACACAAAACAACTCCAGAGTGACGCTTATCTGTACTGGCATATCCCTCCCCAATGTTTACTCATGGACACAGAAGCCACTACATGGGCACATGTCTTCTACAGAGGTAAACACGCCCAGCGCTACGCGATTATGCAGCAGGGCAGGGCGGAGTTAGCCAGAGCAAAGGGAGGGCCTGGAGCGGTTCCAGGCCACACAATGCTGGCTGAAGATCAGATCTGCAAGAGGCTCTGGACCCCAGCAGGCAGCCAGCTTACTGAAATGCCCAACTCATGCAGATCCACTCAAAGACTATGATAATATCCTTAAGAAAATACCCAGTACACATCAGCTAGATGATGTCCTGCAAAGACGTGGAAACAAGTGCTGACACCATGTGGGGAATGGCTGGGAACAGAGTCGGGGGAAACGCCATGACGATGGGACGATGTTGACACAGAACTAGCACAGGGAGCAGAAAAGTCAGCAGGGCAGGGAGGAGAGATGGCAGGTATTCAACATGGACAGGGCAAAGGCAGCGGGCGGGATACTCCAGCAGGGTGCGGGGGCACTGTCTGTTTTTACATAGTAAAAACGAGGGTCTCTAAAGGGTCTGAGACCCAGGAACTGTCAGCAGTGGGATGAGAGCCAGGAATGAGACAGAGAGCTGCGTTTTGATAGAGAATGGGAGAACGCGAGGCACTGCATGTGGCTGCGAAGAGAGAGACACATGGACTCAACTCAGGTTCTCAGTAAGCCTGCTAGGCATCAGAATGGACGGAGTTCATGGCGGGATGGGCTGGCATCTCCTCCTGGTCACCAGGAGAGAGGGCTGCTCCAGGGTCCCAAGTTCTCAGGTGACACACCTCCACTGGCCTCCCGGCATTAGGAAAGCCCCTGTGCCAACCAGGCTGATCACCTGATACATCTGGTTCTACTCAGAGATTGCCTAAGGCACAGGTCTAATTAACATTTCACATAGACTGAAGCAGTATCTTCATAAGGCTTAAACGAAACAACGTTGTCACAGAGTTCCAAGCTTACCTTCTCCATGGGGAGCTGGAGGGAAGCTTTGCAGTCGGAAAACTCCACAGTGATGCTGGGGCCCTGAACCTCAGTCACAACGTAGTGCAGCTTCTGCGACTCCTTCAGCATCTTCCTGTTACTGCCACCAAACTTACCGAGCACACGGTAGGCCACGTGGGAGATGCTGTCAGCAGGGTTGCGTAAGGTGCGCCACAGAGCCTGAAAATCAGCGTGCTTTCGTTAAGGTCCTCTTAAGGTAATGCCTTCACGAGGTTCAGATCAAAATTCAAAGGGAGGCCAAGGCGTAGTGGCTCATGCCTATAATCCCAGCACTTTGGGAGGCTGAGGCGGGTGGATCACCTGAGGTCAGGAGTTCGAGACCAGCCTGGCCAACAGGGCAAAACCCCGTCTCCACTAAATATACAAAAATTAGCCGGACATGGTGGCAGGCAGTTGTAATCCCAGCTACTTGAGAGACTGAGGTGGGACAATCACTTGAACCCAGGAGGCGGAGGTTGCAGTGAGTTAAGATCACGCCATTGCACTCCAGCCTGGGCAACAGAGGGAGACTCCATGTCAAAAAACAACCCTCAAAGTGACGAAACACTGCTTGGCGACAATCTTTCCTCCCAGCTCTGTTATCCAAACACACTGCTCTCCCTTCTTTGGGGAAACCAATGTTACTAGTCTTGTACGTTCTTCCAAGGAAGCTTTATGTCTTTATAAAGAGAGTACACATGTAAACATAAATGTTCATCCATGCTCTTAGAATATAAATAGCAGCATATTTTAAGGGCTGCAGAGCTCCAAAGCAAGAAAACTAAGCAGTATCTCGTTTAGGCACATGCTGCTCAGGCCTGTAATCCCAGCACTTTGGGAGGCTGAGGGGAACAGATCACCTGAAGTCAGTAGCTCGAGACCAGCCTGACCAACATAGAGAAACCACGTCTACTAAAAATACAAAATTAGCTGGGTGTGGTGCCACATGCCTGTAATCCCAGATACTGGGAAGACTGAGGCAGGATAATCGCTTGAACCCGGGAGGCGGAGGTTTTGGTGAGCCAAGATTGTGCCACTGCACTCCAACCTGGGCAACAAGAATAAGACTCTATCTCAAAAAAAAAAAAAGGGTGCAGAGGGGCATGCAGGGGGAGGGGGATGCGACTTAGTAGTAAGGTTCCAGTCGTGGGTGGGATGGCAACTTCTCAGGTTTATTAGGTCTATTTATTAGGCTTTATAACTTACAAACATGACATAAATTGTCTCATACACTTCAAATCTTACATTAGAAAGGGTGGCAAAGGAAAAACACCGATCACGAAGGCACCTGCATTACAGGACTACGGAGAAGAGGTAAATTAATGTGGACTCTGCATTTAAGAAACATCCACACTCAACTGTTGCAAAAAACTCGGTAAATTTCCCCCCATTTTTTCGTGTGAATTATCGGAGGTCCTAAAAATTACTACAGGTCACTGTGTAAGTCTATTTTTTTTTTTTTTTGAGATGGAGTCTTGCTCAGTCAACCAGGCTGCAGTGCAGTGGTGCAATCTCGGCTCATTGCAACCACTACCTCCCAGGTCCAAGCAAGCAATCCTTCCACCTCAGCCTCCTGAGTAGCTAAGATTACAGGCATGCACCACCATGCCCAGCTAATTTGTTTTTAGTGCAGACAGGATTTCACCTTGTTGGCCAGGCTGGTCTTGAACTCCTGACCTCAAGTGATCCACCTGCCTCAACCTCCCGAAGTGCTGGGATTACAGGGGTGAGCCGCCACACCTGGTCATAAGTCTATTTTCTTAAATCACCTTCCGTTTAACAATGCCAAATATTCATGTCTAGCAATACTCAACATAAAATCTTGGAACTTTTCCCTAAACCAAGCAAAATTCCAATTTCTCTTATGTTCCTGTAGATTCAAACAGGCTTCTTAGTAATTGTCAGAAAGGTGGGGTCTAAGACCTCTCGCCTCACCTACCCTCCATCTGGCCCACCCAACCCTTGGGTGTCCTCAGGACGGGGCAGCCCTGGGAACAAGCATGCCCTCCCGCTGTGCTCGCATGGTCTTAGCTGGTTGATGGAAATGGGAGAGGCTGACCCTGTGCCATTCATCTGGAGGCCTGTGGTGGTTCCTGTGGCCTTGACCCTGTGTGTGTCTCTCTTGGGCCATCTGCCTCATGGATGGTGAGAAGGCCTAAGAACCACCCCCTCCTCCTCTCCCACAAGCTGCGCATGTACCCTAGGTCAGGCGCAGGGTCTGTCTTGTAGAACCAACCCTACTGTTCTAAAGGCAGGCTCTCATCAATCCCCCAGTGACCAGCAGGGACTCTGACCCACGCCCTATGCCATCTTTATCTTTTTTTTTTTTTTTTAAACAGGGTCTTGTTCTGTCACTCAGGTTGGAGTACAGTGGTTCAATCATGGCTCACTATAGCCTCAACCTCCTGAGTTCAACTGATTCTCCCACCTCAAACTCGTGAGTGGCTGGGACTACAGGCATGCACCACCATACCCAGCTAATTTTTTGTCTTTTTAGTAGAGATGGGATTTCACCATGTTGCCCAGGCTGATCTGGAACGCCTGGGCTCAAGCAATGCTCCTGCCTCAGCCTCCCAAATTGCTGGGATTACAGGTATGAGCCATCACGCCTGGCCCCTATGCCATCTTCTTCCAGCCTAGATGAAGCCCAAGATCTAAATCTCAGGACAGGGAGGGAAAATCTCCCAACCTCAAACTTAGTCCTAGCCGCAGTCTCCAATCTAATTTGTCCAGAGACTCCTAGGAGTAACTGAGCCTCCATCATCTAAAGTTCATACTCTCACTCCTATCTGGGGCCAAATACCTGCTACTACAGGGGCAGATGCCTTGAGACACACACTCTAACCCTCCAACAATTACCAACCAGATCACAAATCAGTAACAATAGCAAAATATGTAGGAAAAACTAACTTTAACATATCAACTTTTTTTCTTTTTCTTTTTTTTTTTTTTTTTTTGAGATGGTTCAAGCGATTCTCCTGCTCAGCCTCACAAGTAGCTGGGATTACAGGCGCTTGCCACCAGGCCCGGCTAATTTTTGTATTTTTAGTAGAGACGGGGTTTCGCCATGTTGGCCAGGCTGGTCTCGACCTCCAGGACTCAAGTGATCTGCCTGCCTCAGCCTCCCAAAGTGCTGGAATAACAGGCATGAGCCACCGTGCCTGGCCAACATATGAACTTTAATAAACAAATATACAAATGTCTTCAAAACAACCTCCTTTATTATCTGCTTCTTATTCCCTCTGGGTAGGGTGGAGCAAATACCTGTATTTTTCCTTTAGAGTAAATATCCCTTTACTATGCAACTGAAGATCTTTTCTGGATAGAGAGGTTCTCACTGGAAGTAATAGTGGCCATATAGTAACCATAACACCTGCCTTCATCAGTCATCAACTTATTAAGAATATAACCCTCTCCAGGCACAGTGGCTCACGGCTGTAATCCCAGCACTTTGGGAGGCTGAGGCAGGCAGATCATGAGGTCAGGAGTTTCAAACCAGCCTGGCCAATATGGTGAAACCCCAACTCTACTCAAAATACAAAAATTAGCCAGGCGTGGTGGTGCGCACCTGTAGTCCCAGTTACTTAGAAGGCTGAGGCAGAACTGCTTGAACCCGGGAGGCGATGGTTGCAGTGAGCCCAGATCGCACCACTGCACTCCAACCTGGGAGACAGAGCAAGACTCTGTCTCAAAAAAAAAAAAAAAAAAAAGAAAAGAACCCTTGTGAAAGCTCTCTGAAAAACAGGCAATGCTGCAAAATAATGTCCATTCAGTACCAACAGTATCTCTTTACACAATTCCTTTTTCCTTTTTTTTTTGACAGGGTCTGACTTTGTCACCCAGGCTGGAGTGCAGCAGTGTGATCATGCCTCGCAGCAGTCTCGACCTCCCTGGGCTCAGGTGATCCCCCTGCCTCAGCCCCAAGTAGCTGGGATTACAGGTGTGGGCCACCATGCTTGGCTAATTTTTGTATTTTTTGTAGAGATGGGTTTTCACCATGTTGCCCAGGCTGGTCTCTAACTCCTGGGTTCAAGCGATCCACCCTCCTCAGCTTCCCAAAGTGCTGGGATTACAGTCAGGAGCCACCGTGCCCAGCCTTCTTTACATATTTCAATCCACCAGAAGACTCACAAAGATGAAGTAAGCAGAGAGCTGCACTGGTCCACCTTGCAGAGAGCCCACTCTTGAGTACAGAGAGCACAATGACAGCCCACTGCTTCCGGAGAAGCAGCCAGCTAACACCCTCACTAAAATCTTACCTGCATGAGCTCTGCGCGCACTGGCTGGATGTGGTCATAGAGGAAGTCGGGCTGCAGGTTGTCCACACACAGCTCCAGTGTCCTGAGGCCTTGGCTGACCAACGTCTGAGAGCCATTGAGTGCAGACACCAAGGGATCCATAAGCATGGGCAGGTACGGCAAGAGCGAGCTCAGCCGCACGGGGACAGTGAGACACAGCTCCACAAAGAGGTCCTTCATGTGCTGCTTGTGCAGGCCACTCTGAAGCATGTTCAGCCCTAGGGAAAGGGGTGCAGCCGTCAGAGAGGGAAGACGCTCCCCAGACTCAGGCCCAGGTGAAACACCAAAAGAACTGCCCCTCCTTCTCTCATGCACACCAGCACGACTGCAGGAGACCTCTGTGCCCTTAGAATCCATCCTGTAACATCTGTCCCATAATTGCACTCATGACCCCTTCTGAGTGGCAACAGCAGGCCGTATGTAACTGTTATAAATTATAATTTAAATTATAATCATAGTACTATATCCTTTTAATATCATAAATTATTTTTTAATTATGTTGTACTATCAGACTTCCAGTAAACCACAGCTGAGGTCTATTCTCTAAACAGTTTTTAAAACTAATTTTTGTGTATTATAAATGGCGAGGAGCCTCTTTCTGATAAAGTCCACCTCCCCACCACTCATGAGGACAGTTAAGGCTTTACTGATCCCGTTCCTGAGACAGTGCCACTGAGAGCCGAGATTGGCTAGAAACAGAAAGGCATGTGGCAGTGGACCCAAGAAAAGGCACATCCTGTGCGGCACAGGCAGGCAGGATGAAGGACGAGAACTCAGGGAGAAGAGGAGCCATCAGGGATGGCCTCACGGGGCAGCAGAACCAGGTCCCAAATCCAAAGGATGAGGAGGATGGAGGAGGGCAAGGGGCTGAGTTCCCAGCACAGGGTCAGCATGAATGAGACCGGGAGGGAGGAACACCCTTGGGGACAGCTGAGAGTCCAGGAGGAAATCAGACTGTGCAAACAGGGGCTCGGGCAGGGATCCACCGAAGACAGGGTTAAATCCGGACATGGCGCCAGGTTATGGGCCCCTCTCATGGCAGATTCATCGCCATTTCAGTCAACAGTAAAGGATGTCCCTGCTGCCTCCTGGGGAGCCTATGTCACTTCTCTAAGGAAGTCAAGGAAATACATGAGAAGGGTCAATCCCTTGCCAAGAGCTCACCTTACCAAGAAGTGTAATGAATTCCTGGGACAGTGTTTCCAATCAGCACACACCCCGTAAGCATTCAATGAACCCAGATCCCTGTTAACTACGTACCTTGAGAGCATTCCTAATTATACAAGAACTACAGGATTCTAGCTATGCAAATAAGAAGCTAAATGAAAATATAAACTAACTGTAAGTCAGCTTCGTCACCTGCTTTTTCTTTTTTTGTTCAGATTCTCTTTCAATTGAGGGATCTCTGATCTTGCTAAACCACTAGAAACCACTTTCTAGACTTGCTTACCAAACACTATGAAAATGCAACCAAGCCCTAGGCAGGACAACTAAAACCTAAATCCCATTCAGTGCTGAGGAGGGAGGGGAAGGGCCCATCCCTGAAAGCAGCACCCTTCAAAGTCCCAGTGGGGGACCAGGGGCGCAGGGAGGCAGCGGATATGCCACATCCCAACCCACCAACCACGACCCTCACCAGTTACAGAGGATGAAACCCAGCAATCAGATGGCTAGACACATGACTAAATGACACACAAGACTAAAAGGCAACCAAAGTCACTGCTCTGACCTTGCAGCAGGTTTGGAAGGAGAGGCAAGAACTCCTGATACAAGAGATCGTGGCTACCTCCACCAATAGAGCGAAACAGCGCCCGTAGCAGCAAGAAGTAGTTGTAGGGTTCCTTGGCAGTCTGTGCGAGCTCCATAGAGCTGTTCACAATCTTGTGCAAGTGAGGCTGCAGGGTGGAGAAGATGCAGATTAGTGGCATCTAAATGAGGAGGGTCTATACCCTCCAGACTCTTGAAGTGTCACTGCAATCCGACAGCAATGGAAGGCAATTCTGATGTGTTTACTTCAAAGGAAAAAAAAACAAATAAGCACATTCCAATCTTTATTTAACTCAAAATAGTTTATCTTAAAGTATATGTTGGTATCTGTAACAAATCAAATGCAAAAAGTAACCTACAGGGGCCAGGCAAGGTGGCTCCGGCCTGTAATCCCAGCACTCTGGGAGGCCAAGGCAGGCGGATCACCTGAGGTCAGGAGTTCAAGACCAGCCTGGCCAACATGGTGAAACCCTGTCTCTACTAAAAATACAAAATTAGCCAGGTGTGGTGGCACACATCTGTAATCCCAGCTACTACGGAGGCTGAGGCAAGAGAATCGCTTGAGCCCAGGAGGCGGAGGTTGCAGTGAGCTGAGATGGCGTCATCACACTCCAGCATGGGCAACAAGAGTGAAACTCTTGTCTCAAAAAAAAAAAAAAAAGTAACCTACAGGAACTGTAATTGTACTACCAAATAAGATGTATGCAAAGTGTAAAAAAACCTCAGAAGACACTGAAGATTACAGTGTTTTGGAAGACTTAATTGGGGAATATTTTTGTATAAATCTTTCTTTTAAAAAGCTACTCTACTAGATCATACTAGCTTTAATCAAAATTTTAAACCATATTAACTTCTTATTTTGTCAAATCCTGGTTTTGACATGTCACATGCTAAGTTTAACATGAACATTTTTTGCCTGTGTACTTAAGCAACTACAAATTCTTGGTACAGTCACTGATATGGTTCCAAATTTATTATGGTATATGGCAGAATAGATTTATTTTACAAAACTACATGTATTATTCTGGACAAAAGGTTCTATGAACATTGTTTTTTGAATACTTTTCTTAAACATTCCAACATTCTTTTTCTTTTTTTTGAGACAGAGTCCCACTCTGTCTCCCAGTCTGGAGTACAGTCAGTGGCACAACCTTGGCTTACTGCAACCTCCACCTCCCAGGTTCAAGCAATTCTCCTGTCTCAGCCTCCTGAGTAGCTGGGATTACAGCATGAGCCACCATGCCCGGCCATATTCCAACATTCAATTTGTCCCAGTAGGTTTTATTCTGGGCTTTTTTGTTGTTGTTCTGCATAGTCATATCTAATGCTGGCAAAAAATGAATTATTTGAGGATAATGAATTATGTGGACGCAGGTTATAATTAAATATTTTATATCTTTAAATTTAAAAATAAGTATTTTCCCTTTTTTTTTTTTTTTTTTTCTGGAGACAGGCTCTCACTCTGTCACCCAAGTTGAAGTGCACTGCAGCCTCAACCTACCAGCTCATTCAAACGATCCTCTCTCTTCGGCTTCCTGAGTAGCTGGGACTATAAGTGCACAGCATCACATCCAGCTAATTTTTTTTTAAACTAATTTTGTAGAGATAGGGTCTCACTATGCTTCCCAGGCTGGTCTTGAACTCTTGGGCTCAAGCAATCCTCCTGCCTCAGCCTCCCAAAGTGCTAGGATTATAAGATTACAGGTGTGAGCTACCACGCCTGACTAGTACTCTCCTTTTATATTAACACAAAAGTTAAGGTTGTTGATAATTTCTGTAGAACTGTGAAAAGAAAACAAGGAAAGTGCCGTGTGAAAGCACAGGTTACTGGAGCTCTGTGTCACCATCTGTGCAATTACTCCAAATGAACAGATCTTATTTACATCTTCAAATTTTCCGTTGAGAAAGCATCTCTTTTGACATATTCAATTTTCTATAGAAATTAAGATATTTTGCCACAAGAGGGAGTGCATTTTTATAAGGTTTTTATTGTACCACCTGCTGCTTTTAGCGATATAACTACGGATAGGTTTTACCCATTTGCTAGACTCAAATAACAGAGGAGATCCAATTACACAGGATTATTCATCTATAAAAATGTATGATGAGACATCTTCTCTAAGATGTTCTTAATAAAGAAGCACAGACTAATCAGAATTTATTTAAAGGGGAAAAAGAAAGAAATACTCCTGAAAAGTGTCATTTACATACTGCCAAGACCGTTAACACAGAGAAAACACAAAACCTGAGTGAAGGCCAGGCGCAGTGGCTCACACCTGTAATCCCAGCACTCTGAGAGGACAAGGTGGGCAGATCACCTGAGGTCAGGAGTTTGAGACCAGCCTGGCCAACAGGTGAAACCCCATCTCTACTAAAAATACAAAAATTAGCCAAATGTGGTGGTATGCACCTACAATCCCAGTTACTAGGGAAGCTGAGGCAGGAGAATTGCTGGACCCAGGAGGCAGAGGTTGCAGTAAGCCAAGATTGCTCCACTGCACTCCACCCTGGGTGACAGACTCAAGAAAAAACCCCAAAAAATCAAAAAGACAAAAACAAAACCTGAGTGAAGTGGACAACTGCTGATGTAACTGTAACCGCAGAACCAGTTCAAACTGGTTCAGCTTCGCCTGAGTTGATTTCAGTTGCAACAGACCCCAAGGCTGCAAGTCGTAAGCATGTGCAGGTGAACCAGGCACGTAGGATTAGTGACCCTGGGGCCCACTGGAAGGAAAAGTTAACCACAGATGGAACCCAAGTACCTGGACCAAGCAACAAGGACCAAATTAAGAAGCAAGGGGAGCCCTGTTTTGTTGCAATAGGAACTTAAGAGCAAAAGGCCCAGCACTGCCTCACTGCAGAACTCAATCAAATTATACCTCACTGCATTTTTCCATCTCCCTCACCGTTACTCTTCCTATAAAACTCACCCTGAGACCCCAGCTCTGGGAGAATGAGGTCTCCTGTCTCCTTGTCAATCGACCTGGCAATAAAGATGCTTTTTTTTTTTTTTTTCCCCCTGAAAAGCTGGTACCATTGTATTGACTTCAATGTGCATCTGGGAGTGAGACCATTGCTTGGTAACATAATCGGAACCATCACACCGTATTCGAGAGGTAGGTGAAGACATTTTTTACTTCTAATAAGTTCGTTTGCATCAATGAAATGTTTAAAAATAAGAACCATCTGCTCCTATTTTATTTCTGTAACCCAAAAAAGAAATTAGGTTTAAAAAAGAAAATCAGTGGTGTCAATACTAATAACACCACACTTGCTTGCCATAAGAGTTTTGGATTTTTCATTTTAAGTTACTAGACAAATTAGTTACTGCTTAGAAATACACGGAATGTTTTTCACACTTGGCCCTTATTTGTTGCAAATATTTACTATTTCAAAGAGCACTTTATAAATATACAGAGTCACTACAATTTCTGTTTAAAAGTGAAAATAAGAATTAAAAAAAAAAACAAGCCGGGCACACTCACAGTGGTGAGTGCCTGTAGTCCCAAAAACTGGGGAGACTAAGGCAGGCAGATTGCTTGAGTCCAGAAGGCTGACCAGCCTGGACAACACAGTGAGGCCCTGTCTCTAACAACAATAACAAAACCCTGAACAGAAGCACTACTTAGATTAAATGGACTTTACCTTCAGCATTTGTTCATTTTCAGCTGCAAAGAGGGAGACAGAGCCAAAGACCAGCTTAAATAGCTTGAGGTACAGGTTGGAGAGCTCCACATTGGAGCCCATTTCTGGCAGGCGATCAAGGAGGTATTCCACCAGAATCGTAGCAAACAGAGCAGAGGTAGTAGGATTTGCCAAGAAGGAATTGGCAACAATCTGTCAAAACAAGAAACACATGTGAAAAATTAATCCCTTCCCCAAAGCAGCTTTAAGACAAAGTAGTGAGCTTTCCAAAAACATAAAACCAAGCCTGTATCACACACTCCAAGAAATTTAATTATCTACCAAAGGAAAAAAATGAAATGGGTTTACTGAGCACAGAGCAGGGCAGTTCACTTCAATGATGTAATCTGTTATTTCATCCTCATCATCAAATACCAAGGACTACATTTAACACATATTTTTTGAGACTTTGAGAAGGGGGTCTCTCTCTGTCACCCACACTGGAGTGCAGTGGTGTGATCTCAGCTCACTGCAGCCTCAACCCCCTGGGCTCAAACAATCCTCCTGCCTCAACCTCCCGAGTAACTAAGACTACAGGTGTGTGCCACCACACCCAGTTAATTTTTTGTAGAGACAGGTTTCACCATTGTTGCCCAGGCTGATCTCAAACTCCTGGGCTCAAGCTATCCTCGGCTTTCTAAAGTGCTGAGATTACAGGCATAAGCCATCGCAACCGGCCCACACATTTATTTCTACTAATGAAAGGAACTGACCCAAAGCATTTGAATCTTTCAAAAATTGTTTCAAGACATTATGGCCTAACATTTCTTTAAATTTCATGCTATAAGCACATCTTTGGCTACATTATTTTTAAAATCCTTGAAATAAATGAAAAAGTATTTAAGACATAAAGAATTGTAAAGTTAATGTTCAAACAATGTTAAAAAAAGGAGTTTTATACCTGAAGAGCATAATTTTTTGAGATTCTCTCCACCATATAAGGGACCGTAGTTTGGAAGATTTCTTTGAACGTTAAGGGGTTCATCATTGTGAACACGCCAGCGAAGTGCTCCAACACCTCCTTCTCCTCTTTCATTCTCACAGTCTGGCAGTTGGCCACGCGGATGTATGTCTGTCCATTTCCTGCTATCTGGACCTAATACAGGCGAAAAAAGCCACCCACGGCATTAAAACTGAACCTCTCTGAATATGTTCCATTACCTAACCAGATCAGCTGCACACTTAAAATAGAGCACTTAAATTAGATAACAAATGTCCCCCTCCAAAACCTTTTAAATTCTCCTCTCTCACCTTAATTTTGGCAAAGAATTTAAAAAAAAACAAAATCTCTAGGTGTTCAGACCATGAAAAAAATTAGTAAACTTAAGTCTTATATTTCTGTTGCATTCCGTTTACACCATCTGCCCCACAAAATGCACATAGATTCTTATAAATAAGAATTCCCACATAAACCCAGTGCTATGTTGTGGAACAAAGCACATCTGGGTATACAAATACTGTGGACCATCCAAATACCAACAGCTCTTACTGCCACCCCATCATTAGCACCTCTAATACTAAGAGGTACTTTCCATATGTGAAAGCCTGGCTGGAGGGCACTTCCTTACCTGATAAATATCTAAAGCTTGCATTGCATATTTCACAAGTTTGATGTAAATCTGTGTCTCTTTGGGTTGTAACTGCTTGTTGGGAATGAACTGAGCTTCTGGAAAAAAGAAAGTATATTAACTCGAATAAAACTCACTTTATGAAAAGTATCGTTTGTCTACGTAACTGAAGAGCAGAATTACCACCAGGCGCTTTGCACGATGTTATGCCCCACGTGATTGTCTTGACACCACACACCAAGGTTTTGACCAAACTTCGACAATCTGT